CTTCTTCCTGTGGTAAACATGGCTTCCTTCCGTACTTAAACCTTCTTCCTAGATTACTTTATTTCCTGACTCCGGAATGAAATCACTTTTTACATTGCTCACTAAAGTGGGTTGTTTGGGAGATCTATTCTCTCCTCTCTCGCAGGGAACTGGCACTTTGTTGTTGTTGTTTTTGTTTTTTGGAGGCTTTCCTAGATGGATCTTAGGAAGATGGCTTCCCCTCCGTCCGCGGTCTCTCACAGTCGACTATTTCCCCGAGTACTTTTCTCTATCAGAAACTATTCTGTTGATTTACTGTTTGCTCTTTGTGTTCGCCACATTGTGAAAGCATGTCTCTGTGATAACTGGGGAGTTTGGATATTTTTCATTCTTTATACAGAACCCCTAAAACAATGTCAGATGATTGAAGTACTTTCATTTGGGAAATGAAACATTAGTTTTACCCATGCCATTGGATTTTTTTGTCTTTATCTGTATTTGATTTTTTTTTCTTGTATGATTATTTTGACCAATTAGAAGCTATTAAACCACATGCTTGGTGGCAAGTGTCTGTAATCCCAGAGTTTGGAGAGCAAGGGCAGGAGATGGAGTTCACGTCAGTCTTCACAACACAGTAACAGCATAAAAAATCATCGTAACTTTATTTGCCATTCTCACAAGGTTGCATGTTGGGTAGGGGATAGCATAATGCTCAAATATCTGATAAAAAACCTAATGAAGAAAAGAAAATGCTATATTGATTTAGATGGTGATATATTCATAAATGTGTCTCTTCGGCTTTGATTTGTTAGGAAGTATTCTATCTAAATAGCATTTGCAAGCAGCTACTGAAATTTTTTCATTAAGTCTAAAGTTGTGAATAAATGCTTAGTATAAATTAATTTTTTGAAGGTATCTGAATCAGGCCTCACCAGAACTATAACTAATGCATATTCATAAACTCATTCCAATAGAGAAATGGACTAAGCCAGGACACAAAGACAGAGGCTTTTGCTCTTGATAGTATGAATGTCCACCAGCAGGTACGACTAAACTATTTTACACATAATACCCAAACTGCTCTTTGTTTTTTAATTTGTTTAATTTCATTTTATGTGCACTGGTGAGAAGGTATCAGATCCCCTGAAACTAGAGTTACAGATGGTTGTGACCACCATGTGTTGGGGATAGAGGTGGGACGCAGGTCCTCTGGAAAAGCAGTCAGTGCTCATAATCGCTGAGCTATCTCTCTGGCCCAAGAACTATTCTTACGTGTAGCATAAGAAGCCGGGGAACATTTAGTGTGGAATCTAAATACATCTGGGGGAACTCTGAGAAATCCGTTTAAGGAGAGATCTGAAGTATATATAGATGGGTGTGATCCCACATGCTAACAGTGGCTGTAAATAGTCAGTGGTGTGTTAATGAGAGAGAAGAATATGCAGTGGAATAGTGGGGTACCTTATTCTTGGGAGAATTTATTATGGTTGATTGATTAAAATTGGGAGATTAAAAGTGCCAGGTGACATAGCCTGTGATATCACCCCAGCACTCCAGAAGATTGGGAGAAGATTCCTGTTCATCCTTGGCTGCATAGTAAGACTAAGGCTAACCTAGAAAAAATAAGACCCTGTCTTAGAAAGAAAAAAGTGATGTGTGGGTAAAGTACCTGTCTGACTGCCATCTGGCTTTGGCTTTGCCCCTCTTGGCCAGCCTAGCAGAAATGTCCAGCCAGCCCACTCCTCTCAGCACATGGGTGACAAACAGTCTTGGTGTCTGCCTTGCCTCCATACACTAGGCAGGTCATGGTAGAGACAGAATCCAATTCTTGTTTGTGTGCAAGTTCTGTGAGCATGCTTGCTTTCAGAGCTTTGCATAGTAAATGGGAATAACTACTCCAGGACTCATAAGCTACAAAGGAATATTTTTAGTTTCTATTTTGAAGTTTCTCTCCTTTTATTTTTATATTTTATGGTGTGTGTGTGTGTGTGTGTGTGTGTGTGTGTGTGTGTGTGTGTGTGTTTAGTGTATTCAGGTGCAAGTGAAAGTCAAGAGTCCATTCTCTACCAAATGTCACTGGGAGCAAGTGATTTTTCCTACAGAGCTTTCTTGCCAGCCAGCTCTATTGAATTTGGTTTTTTGTTTTGTTTTATTTTCTTAGACTCCTGTAGCTTAGAGTCATATAGCAGAGGACTATTGACATGAGGCTTTATGTCAAAATTCATATCTGAGAATGACTGATTCTGAGTGTTTGGAGGACAACCTCAACAGGATCAATGTGAATATTTTAGCCCCATCTCCTAGTTGGCAGTTTAGAAACACCACTAGACCTCACCTGCACATGCTTAGAATGTTAGTCATTTTCCCCTACACATATAACTTCATGTTTTCAGACATGTTCTTTCTTGGGTGTTGACCTTAATATGTGGTTATTGGACTGACTCCTGCTGGGTTTAATCATAGGAGAATTGATAAGCATTTTCTGATTAACTGCCTGTTAGTAAACTAAGTAAGGGAGGACTAGGAGAAATAGAATGGCAAGAGATAGGCTTGGAGATAAGAGAATCAAATCAAGCTGTAGTTATCTTAGATGAACTTACTGAGAGAACAGCTTTTGTATACCATCATAGGTATGGCTGTGGCACACTTTCGTTAAATATTTTTGGATAAGGCCTTTCTCAATCATGAGCAGTTTTAGTGACATAAAGAATAGATGGTGGTGTGCTCTTTCTTGCCCTAGCAGTTGAAGGTGGGTTTTTTGTTTGTTTCTTTGTTTTTAATATGGCCATTTCAAAGTGGTTTTAAGCTGCTAATAATCATCCTGCAGCTTTCACATTTGCTCTTACTTAAAAGAGCATTTAATTTCTGTTCTTAAAGCAAGACATCAGAACAATAAAGACATCTTTTTATCAGGCACATAATTTAAACATTAAGCAAAAGGCAGAAACACAGCAATAACATGTTGCAACTTTAAATGGTCTCACTTTTTAGATTTGGTTTTGTTGTTCTTGGTTTTTGGTTTGTTTTTTAAATAATGAGAAAATGGAGAGCCAAATTATTACACCGTGACTTTATTGTGCCTTAAATTCACAAGATATGGAATTCCATAGATGTATGTGTGTATTATGTATTTATTTATTTGTTGGATCCCAGAGACTCTTCTAGAAAATAGGTCAGCAAACTAAAGTCCAGGACTGAAATCTTGCCTCTCCCTATTTTATTGTAACAACATCCTCATTCCTTTTGCTCACTGCAATTGCTTCTCACTTCAACAAGGCTCAATAGTTTAGACTGACACATGGGGCCTATCAAGCCTATATCTGGCTCTGTACTAAATAATAATAATAACAACACTAATAACAGTTACTGCTCCTACCCCACTTAAAGCAGCAGGAGCCAGTATAGAATAGGTAAAGAAATAAAATGGCACTAACTCTAGTGCAAGCCAAGCATTTACTGTGGCCATGGACTGTGGCATGTACCTTACAAGCCTCATTCATTTCCCTTTCACAGCTCTTACATATGAAAGAAAGTAGTACTGCCTCGCTTCATTGCTGCCAGTTTCTCATCAACTGCAACTGACCAAATAGGTTTGCTTGCATAAGTACTCTGTTTAAAATTGCAAATTTAAACTTTCTGCAAGTGCCCTTATTAGTATTTTTATATCATTCTTTGCAACTTATTTTTATGCATTTTTGAGGCAGGGTTTCATGTAGCCCAGATTGGGCTCTAACTATGTAATCAACGATGACCTTGAATTTCTGGGACCCTACCTTTACCTTCCAAGTGCTAGGGTTACAAAGGACCTTCGTCCTTTGGTTCTATGCTGGGCATTGTACCCAGGGCTTGTGCACTCTAGATGAGCATTCTACCATCCCTATTCCCAGTCCATATTTGTTACTTTATATGCTTATGAAGATTCTGTGCCATAAAGGCATAGATTGTGTGTGTGTGTGTGTGTGTGTGTGTGTGTTTATTTACTGATGTATCATGAGCAATGTATACTCTAGAGCAGGGGTGGCATCACACTGAGTGTTTAGTCAGTGCTAGCCATGAGGTCATGTGGTCCACTGGAGAGTTCCAGTTGTGCAGGTGTGTTCAGGGTCACGATTCTTTTTTATTTAGTCTTAAGATGTTAGTGTAAGTTAGTTATTGTTTTTTACAAAGTGAGTTGTACACCTTTTTTTCTTTTTATTCTTTTCTCATACAATACATCCCAACCCCAGTTTGTTCTTCCTCCATTCCTCTAAGTCCCTCTGCCAAAGCACCCCCTCCAGATCCCCTGCTCCTCCCTTTCCCTTCAGAAAAGAGCAGGCTTCCCAGGGATATCAACCAAACATGGCATAACAAGATTCAAACCCTCATTGAGGATGGTCTAGGCAACCCAGTAGGAGGAAAAGTGTCCCAAGAGTAGGAAAAAGAGTCAAGAATCCCCCCCCCAGAGTCCCACACAAAAACAAAAACCAAGGTAAACAACCATAACATATATGCAGAGGATCTAGGTCAGACCCACATAGGCTCTGTAATTTTCAATTGCGTCTCTGAACCCTATGAGCTGTGCTTAGTTGATTTCATGGGCCTGGTTCTCCGGGTATCCTCAACCCTTATGGCTCCATAGTCCTTGCTCCTCCTGTTCCGAAGGGTTCCTGGAACTTCCCCTAATGATTGGGAGTGGGTGTCTGCATCTTCTCTCATTGGCCGCCAGAGGAAGCCTCTCTGACAATTGGGCTAGGCATGTATAAGTATAGCAGACTATCATTAAAAATCATTTCATTGTCTTTTCCCAGTCATGTTTGTTTCTGGCCTAGATCCTCTGGACTATCGAACTTCTGGTTCCTGGCCATCCAGGCCATGTCAGACATGGGCTAAAAGTTAGACCAGTCATTGATTGGTGACTCCCATAAGTTTTGAGCCACCATTTTCTCAGCATATTTTGCAAGTAGGACAGGTTGTAGGTAACAGGTTTTGTGACTAGGTTGGTGTCCTGTCCCACCATTAGAAGCCTTGCCTGGTTATAGAAGATGGCCAGGTCAGATGCCATATCCCCCATTACTAAGAGTACTCAATAGGGTCGCCTTTGTAAATTCCAATGAGTTTACACTGCACTAGATTTCCACACCAATCCTGCAATGACCCCCAATTCCAGATGTCTCTCCCAGTACTCTCCCTCCATCCCTCCTTCCCCCATCCAATCCCTCCTGTTTCCCCATCCACTCCCACTCTACCCAAAAAATCTATTCTCTTTTCCCTTCCCAGGGAGATCCATGCATCCGCCCCTTACTTGAGCCCTCCTCGTTGCCTTCTCTGTGTCTGTGGGTTGTAGCATCATCATTTATTTTATAGCTAACATCCATTAATGTGTGCGTGCATTGGTACCATGTTTGTCTTTCTAGGTCTAGGTTACCTCACTCAGGATTTTTTTTTTTTTCTAGTTTCATCCATTTGCCTGAAAACTTCATGGTGTCTTTATTTTTGTTGTTGTTTTGGTTTGATTTTGGTTTTGGTTTTTTAAGACAGAGTTTTTTTTTTTTTTTTTTTTTTTTTTTCAGAAAAGCTTTAATATATTCAACAATGTGAAAACACAAATATAATAACAAGTTAGAAGGTAGATTACATATTCTTTTTTTATTATTTTATTTAATTTTATATAACAAAGTCCAATTAAATGAAAACAAACATTTATACACAATATTTGGGAATTTGGGCGTCTTTCCAAACTACTTCCTGCTGGTAAGGGGCGCTGTCATGGGGGATTCTAAGAAGATTCAGATATCCTGGCTGTAGTCTGTAGGGCTGTTTTGTCCAGCTGTTTTGAATGTAGGATCACCTTGTACTCTGTTTCAGGAGGTCTGGCGTGATCAAACCACATTAGTCTGGAAGGATTCCACATCTTTGCATTTTCTGTGGAAACAAATATAGAAGTCCTTTTCCCCAGTAACTTGTCCTTGAACTGAAATTTTGGAGTCAAAGCATTTTTTAAAATTTAATTTATTTTACATGTGGATCCCAGTTCCCTCTCCCTCCCTCCCTCCATCCCTCCCTCCCTCCTTCCTTCCCTTTTACCCTCTCTGCCCTCTCACATGCACTCTAAACACCCTCCCCTCCCATCCCCCCCACCCCAATTCCATATGTAGGGGAATGCCATCCAGTTAGGGTCATATATATCTGACAGGTCCTGTGAAGTAGGGACTAGGGCTTCTCTCCTGTCTCTAGATTAAGGCAGTTAATCCCTCCATGGCGGATATGTTCGCAAAGTCCTTTTGTGCACCAGGGATACATCCTGGCTCCACTGTCTGAGGTCTCTTAGACTGCTCAGTCCTTCTGGCTGAGACCCATATTCAGGGGGGCCTGAGTCAGTCCCATGCTGGCTTCCCAGCTATCAGTCTAGTGGCCATTAGCTCCTCCTTGTTCAGGTCAGCTGTCTCTATGTGTTTCTGCCGCATGGTCTTGTAAGACAGAGTTTTTATGTAGCAGCTCTAGCTATCATGGAATGGGTTTACCAGGTTGGCCATGGCCTTGAGCTCACAAAGACCTCTCTGCCTCTCAAGTGCTGGGATTATAGACAATGCTGCCTCTTGAGTGGTGGGATTAAAGGTATTATCAATTTTTTGACAGGTGAGTAATATTCTATTTATTGTACCACATTTTCTTTATCCATTCTTAGGCTAAGTGCTATCAAAGTCATTTCTAGTTTGTGACTGTTATGAATAAAACTGCTATGAACATAGTTGAGCAACTGTATGGTATGGTTGAGCATCCTGTGGGTATATGCCCAAAAGTAGTATAGCTGGGTCTTTGGGTAGATCAATTCCAACCAAATTTTCTGAAGAAGAATCATAGTGATTTCCTCTAGTGCTTGTACAAGTTTGTACTCTCTCCAGCAGTGGAGGACTGTTCCCCTTACTCCATATTTTGATGGGATTTTAACTGGGAATTGCATTGAATCTGTGGATTGCCTTTGGTAAGATGACTTTTTCCTGTGTTAATTCTACCAATCTATGAGTATGGGAGACTTTACCATCTTCTGACATCTTCAGTTACTTAAAAGATTTGAGCTTTTTGTCATACAAGTGTTTCACTTGCTTGCTTGAGGTTATCCCAGGATAATTTATATTGTCTATGGCTGTTGTGAAGGGTGTTGCGTTCCTAATTTCAGTTTGTCATTTGTATGTAAGAGGGCTACTGATTTTTTTTTTTTGTTGTTGTTTTGTTTTGTTTTGAGTTAGGTATCCAGCTACTTTGCTGAAGGTGGTTAGTTGTTTATGTATACTATCATACCATATGTAAATAATGATGCTATAATGCTCTCTCCTCTTCCTTTCCAACTTGTATCCCCTTGATCTTCCTTTGTTGTCTCATTGCTCTAGCTAGAACTTCAAGTACAATATAGAATAGGTATGGAGAAAGTGGGCAGCCTTGTCTTTCTTGTTTCTGATTTCAGTGGAATTGCTTTTGCGCTTCTCTTCATTTGTTGGCTATTGGCTTGCCATAAGTTGCCTTTATTATGTTTAGGTATGACCCTTGTATCCCTAATCTCTTCGCAGCTTTTACCATGAAGGAGTTTTTCAAACTCTTTAGTCAGCATCTTACTAACAAGATGATATGTGGTATACCATTTTTTTAAGTTATACATAATTTTATTTAGAGAGAAAGAGAGCTCACTTGTGGAAATCAGAGGATGATCTGTTGGGTTTGGCTCCTTCCTAATACTTGCTTTCCAGGATCAAACTCTGGTGAGTGACTGGCAACTTCCTGCTGAGCCATCTCACACTCTATACCATTTACTAAAGTCATGTTCTCACAGCAGCTGTAGTATTGGAATACATTTTAACTTCAAGTTGTTATCTAAGGCAGGTGTGTCCTGAGGGTGACTCTTCTGGATCAGCGCTGCCTGGAAGTGATTAACATTCCTCTTTCACGAAGGAAGCAGCCAAAACAACATAAGCTAATGAAGAAAATAGCAAAGACAAGTGGCCAGAAAGGCCTGGGCAGAAAAGCCCTCAGAGCGAACCCAAAACATGAGGAGGTGACTCAAGACACCATCCAAGAGGAAGATGTGTGCAGTGAGACAGGCCCCGAGACTCAGGAAGATGACTTCCCAGAAGGTTACATAGAGTGCATCATTAGAGGTGAGTTTTCTGAACCTATTTTGGAAGAGGATTTACTTTTTAAATGTTTCGAAAACCTAGAGAAAGCCGAACAAGACCTTTCACGCCAGGTTCTTGGAACGAGTTCCCTTCTCGAAAGTTCTTTGGAATATGTGACTGATGGGACAAAGCAGGAGAAAAGAGAGGCTAAGCAAGAACAGCCTCAAGAGTTTGTTGGAGCGAACTCAGCTCTTGAATGTTCCGAGTACGTGACTAGCGAGAAGCTTCCTGTCGAAAAAATATCGTCGGAAATTGATTTATCAGATCATAAGCAACCTGCGGGACCTACTGGAGAGAAACCGAAGGGTGGTGAACACTGTGCTCCACTGTCAATGCTGAAGTGTCCTCAGACTGGGTGCACGAAGAAGCTGAGGAACAAAACTGCCCTAAGGAAGCACATGCTTGTCCACGGGCCCCGTCTGCACGTGTGTGCTGAGTGTGGGAAAGCTTTTGTAGAGAGTTCGAAACTCAAGCGACATTTTCTGGTTCATAATGGAGAGAAGCCATTTCAGTGCACCTTCGAAGGGTGTGGAAAACGCTTCTCGCTCGACTTCAACTTGCGCACACATACCCGCATCCACACTGGTGAGAAGCGCTTTGCGTGCCCCTTTGACGGCTGCCAGAAGAGCTTTATTCAGTCAAATAACATGAAAACTCACATTCTAATCCACACAAAGGCGGGGCAGAAACGCTGAAAAACCAAGACTGAGATTGTCCTCAGTATGAGTAGTCTTAGTGGATGAGTCAATAGGGATATGTGCTTTGTGGATTATTGTTTATAGGGTGTGATGCCAAGGCTAAGATAATTTTGCAACTTGGAAAGCATACTCTTATTGTTTTATGCTTCGTTATACCATCTTAAGAACATTTTTATATTCTATGATATAGTTCCAACAGTAAAGTCAATTATGAAGTTGCTTCAAAAGCATAATCTTTAATATATGTGCTGTATTATTGAATGTGATGAGGGGTTTTTGCATACTTCATAGAAAATCACTGATTTTTTTTTTTGTAATTGTGCAGTTTCTAATTGCCTAGCTCTTACATTTAAAAATACTTTGTGGTAGATGTGATAATCTTAAAGAATGGAAAACTTCAGCAGTAGTCAACAAATGAATGAGTTACATGTTTTTGTGTCAAACTATTAATCATAGTTAAATGCGAGTGGTTATATAATAAAGTTTGCTAAATTTCTGAAAAAGCAAGACTGCATTGAAAAGGTAACAGCTGGTCGTGGTGGCATGTGCCTTTAATGCTAGCCCTTGCAGCAGATCTGTTAGTTTGAGGCCAGCCTGGTCCACCTCAAGCTTGGGAAGGCAGTCAAAAGGAGAGGAAGAAAAGGAGTATTTATTTTTTTTAATACAGCCAAAGGGTGGATTGTGGTGGTATACAACAACTGTTAGAGTCACTAACATACTAACATTGATATACCAGCGTGTTAGGTTAGAGTGTTCTAGTAAATTTCTGAGGGCCACCACCAGCGTGACCAAAGCAGAGTGCTTCAAATATCAGAAATTTCTAGTTATGGAGACTACTGCTCCAAATCCTCCAAATCACAAGGTCACATCTGCTGTGTGTTTACCTGCTGTGCCAGCCATGTCATCTTGCATCACTTGCTGTTTTCTGTTCTGTTCAGACCCCCCCCCCCCTTTTTTTTTTTTCTCGAGGCAGAGTTTCTCTGTGGTTTTGGAACCTGTCCTGGAACTAACTCTGTAGATCAGGCTGGCTTCAAACTCACAGAGAGAGATCCACCTGCCTCTGCCTCCCTAGTGTTGGGATTAAAGCCGTGTGCCATAAACACCTGTCATGTTCAGTACTCTTGACCTAATAAGTTTTATTTTCTAGTGTTCTTTCAGAAATGCTTGCAGGTGTGTTTGGAAGTATTTCCCAAGGACATTAGTGAGTTATATTTAATTGTAGCAAATTCACAACATAATTGTCCACTCAGTAAAACCAGTTGCCTAAATCATACTAGATCTCAATAGAAAGGGATGCAAATATTTTTAAAGAAAGCTACAAAGGGAAGTGGCAAAGGAGTCACATCTAGACAGGACCCATAGATAAGAGTTTTACTGTTTTTAATAAATAGGTGAGATAAACTGATGTGTGTGCTGGGAAAGGATTTCAAAAAGGCCAAATATGGACAAGGAGGAAAGGGTATTATAATAAAGATTAGTTGTATAATTGAAGAGTGAACTATTACAGACCAGAAAGTAAGCAGCCATCACTCTTTGAATGCACCCCTCTCACCAGTCAATTTAGATTATTTGGCAGTAAAACACACCACTTCGATTTAAAATTTACCATACCCGTGGAAGTTATAGCACATTTTTACGGGGGAAAAAAAATGCACGAATGAAGATTAATCTTGATTTTTTTTTTTAAATAAAAGCCATAATTAAAAGAAAAAGGCTTTAAAATTCAGGGTTTACAGTTGAACTTCAATGTGAGTTACTAAAGAACTATCTGTTTATGTTGTATTTATTTGGTAAGTCAGCTCCACTATCACTTGTATAGGAATGTAGGTCTGGAAACTCTGGCTTAATACCAGTAAACTAGGGTACAAAAGCCATTCATAAATTTCAGTCTTCTAAATCATACACCTGCATAGAGAACTTAAGATGGAGTTTAATCAAGGTGATGGATCACGTGTCTATCTGGTGTTTGCTTTTGCAGCCTTGCGTCTGACTCAATGCTTTATGGATTCTTAGTTTCAGAGTGAAGATTAAAGACCAAACAAAAGATACAGTGATTAGGGTGCAAGCTCTTAAGACTCAGCACTCCAGAAGGATAAGATTGGCTCTCCTTATGGAGGCTGGTCTACTCTATTCCTTTTGTGAGAAAAAGTCATCGAAGTTATAAGAGGCTTAGAAAGTCCTGATGTAGGACCAGGACCTTACCTGACATTTCATTATCCCCCACTCCCACCCAAAGATGTAGATAGATTGACAAAAGGGTAGAAAAGTGAAAACACACAGACAAGAGGTTAGACATTGAGTGTTTTATTGTTTTTTAGTGTGTGGTGTTTCTTCACTCTCATGTGTGTCTGTCTACTGTGTGAGTGTAGTGTCTACAGAGGCTAGAAATGGAGCATCCCCTGTATCTCCTAGAACAAGAGACACAAAAGGTTATTATGTGGGTGCTGGTTCTCGAACACGGGTCCTTTAGAAGAGCAACCCGTGCTCTGAACCACTGAGTAATCTCTCCAGGCCTTCACTAATGTTTTAGATGTGAATGCACACATAGTTCTCACGTTATTGTTCTCTATAGGAAGAAACATATCCAAGCATAGCTAAAAGGAGTAAGCTGAGAAGAGCAACAAACATTTAATCATTTCTACTTCTGGATGATAGACATGCATGGACGTGTTAGATTGCCAGACTTTCCTGCAGAACTGAAAGTTCATTTTGCCAACTCCTTTCCTTCTCTGCCTCCTTATTTCTGTGATGAAAAAATATACATTTCTGTGTATTCAGTTGTCTTTGCTGTACCATAATGCCTATTTTGCTGGTGGTATTGGCTTTATTCTCTTAATATACTGGCCTTTGGACTTTCACATTACAAAGGGCTGTATGCTTTTGTAAATGCTGATAATACTCTAGTATGTGTTGCTTCCACATCTTGTCTTTTATGAACAACCTTAATAAGCAAGGGGATCTAGATATCACAAGACTGAGATGTTGGGTTACATATTGTTCCTACTTATTTTTTTGGAGCACCCTCCAAGCTATTTTCCAGTGATTCTGCCACATTCCCAACAGTTGCAAAGTGTTCCATTTTCTTTCTTTTTCTTTTTTCTTTTTTTTTTTTTTTTTTCTTTTTGGTTTTTGAAGACAGGGTTTCTCAGTGGCTTTGGAGGCTGTCCTGGAACCAGCTCTTGTAGATCAGGCTGGTCTCGAACTCACAGAGATCTGCCTGCCTCTGCTTCCCAAGTGCTGGGACTAAAGGCATGTGCTGCCACCATCACCCAGCTTGGCTTTGGTTTTTCAAGATGGGGTTTCTCTGTGTAGCCCTGGTTGTCTTGGAATTCACTCTGTAGATCAACCTGACCTTAGATCTGCTTTCTTCTGCATTTTTAGTGTTGGAATTAAAGGCATGCATCACCATCACCCTAGTTCAAGGGTTCCAGGTTTACTTTTCTATTGGCTTCCTATCACCTGTCATGGCTCAATGTTCTTGGCACTTGTTCTTGTCGAGGCTCTAGATTTGGTCTTAGAACCCACATGTTGGCTCACAACCAGCCATAACTCCAGTTCCATGTTTCCATTGTCATCTGCTGACTTCAAGGGCACCAGGCACATGGTGCACACACATGTGATGACAAAACATGCATAAATTAAAATCATCTAAATATTTTTATTACTTTCGATAGGTTTATCTCTATATAGCCTTAGCTGTGCTGGAACTCACTCTGTAGACGAGGCTGGCCTCGAACTCAAAAGTGTGCACCACCTCTACTCCTCGGCTTTAAAAAAAAAAAAAAAAGCCATCCTCAATGGTGTGGGCCATGCTCACTGTGGTTTTATCTTTTGAGACAGGGTCTCATGTAGTCCTAAGCAGCCTCACACTTTTTAAGTAGGCAAGAAGTTTGAACTGCACACCTGCCTCCATCTCCTAGGTTCAGGGACTACAGGTATGTGTCACCAGGTCTGGCTATTAGATTTTATAATTTTTAATTTATTTGAGGCTTGCCTGGAAGTCACTGTATAGTCCAATCTAATCTGGTTTGGAATTCTCAGTTATCCTCCTGCCTCAGCCACAGAATGTCCTGATTATGGAAGTAAGCAGGCTTCCCTGTGGTTTTCATTTGCATTTCTGTTGTCCCTTTTTGTGGTGGATTATTGATTATTTGCTAATGAACTGAGTTGTCATTGATGAACAAGCTGGTCCTTTCTCTAACCCTTAATGCATTGGGGCTGGAGAGCTGGCTCAGAGCATAAAAGCTGGTATTCTTTGTGGGGAACTCAGGTTGTTTACCCAACCCCCACATTGGGCAGCTTACAGTTGCCTGTGATTCTCCTGGTGACCCAGTGCCCTCTGACCTCAGTACCTTGCAAATGTGGTGCACATACTCATACAGATGATTTTTAAAGGGTGAATGACTTTATGTAGCACATGTAACCCAGTTCCATCTCAGGAGGCTTTTTTTGGGACAGGGTTTAACTCTATAACCCTGGCTGGCCTGAATCTTGCCATGTACCAACACAACCTGCTTGTCAGGTTCCTATATTACTCTCTTCTGCAGTTGTATGCATGCACAGACATCCGTGTGCTCTTGGGTTGTAATTACCCCATGCACTCACTCTGACTGAATAAACTGCATGATTACATCCTGCATTGGACACAGAACAGTGCAAGTTACATTAAAAACCCATTATATTTGCAACTCCGAGTAAGAGACTATAATTAAAAGGCAATTGGATGAAATTAGCTTTAAGAATACAAGAGTTTAAGCAAGCTTTGGTAAGTGACCGCTAATGGTTAGCATGTGGGTTTTATTAGGATTTTTTTTTTTTTTTTTTTTTTTGCTCCTTTTGTCTGTTGACCCCAGTGCTGAATTTCTTAGATGTCATTGGACCAGATATGAGGAACACCTGTACCGAGCCCTGCTTTACCATATGGCTAAAGTCATATCCATAAAACAAGCTAACATAACTTTTGTGACTTTAGTAAATCAAAGGTATTAGGAAGGCTTCAATGATGCCCTGGGCATTAATAAACTATTCTTAGCACTCCTAAGATCATAGTTGTGTGCCATAAAAAGCATAGGACATGCTCCCTACAACTCAAAATGATGGTCATAAAATACATATACGAATCAAAGAAGTAATAAAACTGGGAAGAATTTTGATAATCATCACCATTAAATGTCAAAATGCTGCACACTATGTAATTACACCCTATTTTCTAAGAAAATTGGTATATATACAAACTGCTGAGGACTAAGCATGGTGAAATTTTTGTGTATGGAAATGCTTTGGGGGTTTGCCAAGTCTGTGGTTTTTAGAACTTAACACCCATGCTATAGTAAACATAGCAGCAAATTCTTTGCCATTCCTTCTATTGAAACCTAAGATTTTGAGAGGCCACAATCCATTCCTGAATCTAGGCTCTTCTGGAAGGTGAGGCAGAAGGATCATGAATTCAAGGCTAACCTGGGAAACTTAGACCTTGTCTTGATTTTTTGTTTGTTCTGTTTTTTGTTTTCTTTTTTGTGTTTTTGTTTTTTTTTGAGACAGGGTTTCTTTGTAGCTTTGGAGGATGTCCTGGAATTAACTCTTGTAGACCAAGCTGGCCTCAAACTCACAGAGATCCACCTGGCTATGCTTCCTGAATGCTGGCATTAAAGGCATGAAGCACCAGTGACTGGCTTTGTCTTTTTTTTTTTTTTTTTTTTTAAACAAAAGACTTACACTTCTGTGGGGTGGCAAAGACCTTGTCTGCCTTGCATAGGCTCTGGGCTCATTTACTCCACCAAAAAAAAAAAAAAAAAAGTCTTGGTCTAAGCACAGCCCAATAGTAGAATGGTTGCTAAATATCTTCAGGGTTCTGTGTACTATCCCTGACACAAATGACATGATTAAACAACTTTTCAAATAAGAGTTGAACATCTGGATATGTCAATGTGCTTAATCACATACATTGTATTAATAAATTATTACATCACATCAGTTTAGGATCATTACTACTACTATTTGTGATGCTGTAAGATCTGTGCCACCCCACCTACCCTTAGTTCACATGAGCCTGAATAGCTACTCTCACTTGAAACACTAAGAATAACATCTTGAACAAAATAAAATAGCTACACACAGAGATCATGTGTAAGTGGAGAGGACAGAGAGGCTACCCATAAGTTAATGAAGGTGCCAAACATTAGTGAAGGAGCCATTTTGGGAAGTTCACTCACGACCAACCCACAAGGTAGCCTACTCTGACCAGGGAAACAAATCTGATTGATCCATTGTGATATTTCTAGCAGACACCCACAGCTAAACACTGAACCGAACTGGAATCCAGATGCAGAGAAGCAGGACAAGACCAGACTACAGAAACCCACAGAGACAGCTGACCCGTACAAGGAGGAGCTAATGGTCCCCAAGACTGATAGCTGGGAAACCAGCATTGGACCTATTCAGGCACCCTGAACATGGGTCTCAGAAGACCTGGGCAGTCTAAGGGACCTCTGACAGTGGAACCAGGATGTATCCCTGGTGCAAGAAAAGACATTGGGAACACATTCCCCATGGAGGGATACTCCATTAACCTAGAGGCAGGAGGAAGGGCCTAGTCCCTACTCCAAATGACTTGACAGATTTTGTTGACCCCTCCCTGTGGAATGGGGGTGGGGGCAATGGGAGGGAAGGAAAGAGGTAGGGAGGAAGGAAGAGAGAGAGAACTGGGATCGATATGTAAAATAAGAAAAAAAAATCTATCAATATATAGCTGCAAAAGGCCTTTAGCTTCTAATCCTCCCTCCTCTTCTCGAATGCCTAGTATTGTGTGCACCTGGATTGGAACCTAGGAATTCTTCATGCTAGAGAAGCGCTTCACCAGTGTTTTCAGTTTTTGGTTTTTTGTTTTTAGAAAAATATGTCCGGCCTGAGGTTTTTGTTGAATCTTGGGTGCACTCCCATGGATATAGAGGGCTGACTGTAATTCTAAAATGATGTTTGTGATGTAGTTTCAGAGGCATACACAGTAAACTGGAGAGTTCCTTTTAATAGACTGGCAAGACTGTTGTATTTGATAAATGGTGTAAGGAAAACTGTAACTGCCTTTACCAAACCTGAGGCTTGTCTCTCAAGGCTAGTGCAGTGATAATCTTCTCATGGAAGGAGCAATTTCTTCAGAGAGCTTGCTCAGTTCTCTGCATCAGAGAACTCCCAGCATTCCTGCTGCCATCACCATTGAATTTAAAAGTCACGCTCCCCTTTAACATTGTGACCCAAGCCACAGCACATAGATCTTCGACATGTCTTAGTAAAACTGAGATGAGAAGGGAACATTTAAAGAGCCTCTTACAGGGCAGAAAGAAACACAGTATAACTTGTTTTCCTCAGCTCATGGGCTGAGATAGAGCCACTTGTTTCGGGATTGGATTTTACCAAAAGGCACTGGTGAGTCACTTTTCTCTAAGACCATTTTTATTTGTGTGTGTGTGTGTGTGTGTGTGTGTGTGTGTGTGTGTGTGTGTGTGTGTTTTGACTTTTCCCTTGGTTCACTCAGTATGTTTCTTTCCTTTTCGGAAAGTTTATATCCACAAATCATGTGACTTAACTTATTCTTGTGTGCTGACAATACATGCAATTTAGCAGCCTCAAAATATAGATAAATGTACACAAGACTTACATAGCTGGGGCTGACCTTGATTGAATGTGATGTTTAGACAACATTGACCTACAACTTCTGATTTTCCTGCCTCCTAAGTACCACAATCACAGTCATGTACCACTGTGCCTGGATTGATGCTGAGATTAGGTTCAGGGCCTTACACATTTTAGGAAAGATTCTACCTGTGAGCTGTTTCTAGTCCTACATTCTTTATGGACTTTCTTCTGGGACTCCTCTATGGGATTAAAAGTATTAGAATATTTAAGTAGAAAACCTTTAAAACTCCAGCATGTGAGTGGAGAATAAACATAAGAGAGAACATTTTAGAGACTGGAAAGGGGCTTTTATAACCCATCTTAAAGGGCTAGAACTTTCTCTCCTAGTCAAGAAAGTAAGCATGAGAGGGATTAAGCAAGTAAGTGACATGATCAAATTCACCTTTGAGAAAAGTCATCTGAGAGCCAGACTGAAGATGGATTAGCAGGAAGGAAAACAACCAGCTGTTGCAATAACCCAGAGGAGAGATGACAAGTCTTATTGGGCCTTATTTTTCCAGCGCAGATCAAGAACGAACACAATAAATGATTAATGGGTGTTTAAATGCTTGGCTGGACATAACTGAAAAGATTTTCAAGCAGCAGTAAAAACAGAAAAACAACAGATGCCCTAAACTCAAAGTCAGTGATAGACAGCAACCAGAGGACAAACAATCCAACTTAAAATGGTCATAAGGCTGAAGCACACACTTCTCCAGAGAAGATACACAAATAGCCAGTAGACACAAAAAAAGATTGTATCATTCAAGAAATGCACATCAAAACCACAGTTGCAGCCATTTTGCATTCCCTAACAAATGTTTGTCCAAATGAGGAAGAAATCATATCCTCCCCTACTACTTGTTACAGCCAGTACAGTGGCTTCTTATGTCATAAGCTAGATGTGTGACATCCTGTTGGCTCTTCAGTTGCCATATATATTTTCCCAATAAATGGTAGCACTCTGAAATGGACAGCCATATTTAGACCTTAAATGGGGGTAGCCTTGGAGCTTGTCCTAGAACTCACTCTGTAGACTGGGCTGGCTTCAAACTCACAGAGAGATCCGTCTGCCTGTGCCTCCTGAGTGCTAGGATTAAAGTCGTGAGCCGCCATCACTGGCAGGTACTGATTGTTTTAAGAACATTAGCACTCATTTAGAGGCTTGATAATCATCTCGCTGTCCCACACATCGCAATGAACTTCAAGTTGGTCTTCCTGATGTACAGGTGTCTTCTGAACTAGGAAAATACATTGTCTCTTTGAGGACCTATAGATTAAATAGTTGTCCAGGCCACTGAATGTATTCTTTACACACCATGGGAGCTGCAAGATATATGCAGAGTACTAACAGGCACGTCTAAAATAGCAAGATTGCCAAAGACAGCTTTAAGAATTTGTAATTAGCTGGGCATTGGGGTTACATGCCTTTAACCCCAGCACTCAGGATGCTGAGGCAGATCTCTGTGAGTTCAAGGCCAGCCTGTTCTACAGAGCTAGTTCCAGGACAAGCATGTAGGGGAACTGTGCCCAGAGAGCAGAGAGGACACAGTGTTGTGCCCCTCATTACAATGGCCCCAGATTTCTCTTGGGTGTGTGGTAAACATTGAAGCCGTTCTTGAGAGGCCCCTTGCTCTGACCACCCCCCATGTATTTCTTTTTATTATTATTACTACATTTTGTGTTTATTCTTTGACAAATTCATTCATGTATACAATGAATATTGATTATATCCATCTCCCAATTCTCTCCACAAGAACAAATGTGTCTCTCTTCAAACCTCATGTCTTATTAAAATTATTATTAGCCTAATTTGAGTACAGACCTATAACACTAGTTTTGGGAGTCTGGGGTAGTAGCATATTGAGTTAGAGACCAAGCTGGGCTTCATAGAGAGACCCTGTTTCATAAAAACCAATGAACAAATGGTGGGGAGACAGTCTAGATAATGTATTTTTGGTTTTGTTTTTATGAGACAGGGTTTCTTTGTATAGCCCTGCCTGCCCTGGAACTTGCTCTGTAGACCAGGCTGGCCTCAAACTGAGAGATCAGACTGTCTCTGCCTCCCAAGAACTGGGATTAAAAGAATGTGCCACCACCACTGGGCCAATAATACATTAAAATTCTGTCTGTTTAAGGGGTTAGAGATGAGGCTCATTGGTTAAGAGCACTGGCTACCCAGAGGACACCTGAGTTCAGTTCCCATGGGACTCACCACCATCTGTAACTCCAGGTCTAGAAGATCTAACACCCCCTTAGGCCTTCATGGGGACTGCACACAAATGATAGACAGATATCCCCATAAACACAAATAAAATCTCAAAAAAATAAAAAAATAAAAAATAAATTTCATTAAATAAGCAATAAATGCAAATTTGTATGTTGTATAAATATTATGTAATTATGAAAATATGTGTGTAGGGGGTAAAAGTGAGGGAAAAAAAGATTGGAGAAAAGTCATCTTGAAAGACAAAAATACAAGAAGTTTGAAAAAGGTAGCTATTGTAGAGCTAAGGAGGAGGTAGAAGCATGAAGTGATTCTTGGGTCAGTCATCCGGCCTAGGGGAAATGAAGGGAAATAGGGAGTGGCATCTTGAAGTTTTCAGCTGGGTACCTGTGGTGGTTTGAATGATAATGGCCCCATAAGCTCAGAAGATGTGGCCCTATGGCCTTGTTGGAGTAGGTGTGGCCTCAGAGGAAGTATATCATACAGGGTTGGCTTTCAAATAGCAGAAAATCAAGCCAGGTCCAGTGGCTCACTGTCTCTTCCTGCTACCTCCAACTCCTTCTCTATCTAGCACTGTGTCTGCACGCTGCTATGTTTTGCACCATGATGATAATGAACTAAATATCTAAACTGTAAGCAGCCCCAATTAAATATTTTCTTTATAAGAGTTGCTGTAGCCATAGTGTCTCCACCACAATAGAAATCCCAAGACAGTAACATAATGGGTTAGGATACACTTACGACAGAAATCAGGACTGCAGAAGAGCAATGAAAAGGAGAAATAACCAGAAAATTTATCAGAAGAATCTTTTCATGTATGTTGAAAGTGAAAAAACTCACCACGAAAAGTAAATCTTATGAATTTGACCAAGAAGCTGAGAAGAACAAAATTCCAATTCCAAAGACGATCTAACTCCAGAAAAATAAGCATAAGCAAGAGAGGAGCATAGTGCCTGAACAGGTGTGACATAAAGGGATCTCATTACATTTCAGCCTCATAATTGACTAGTATGTCTGACAAAAATCACAACTTCGAGACAAATCAAAGCTCTTCCCTCTCTCACAGTTGAGTATGTACTTGCTGGAAGATGGGCATAATTAGGAATGTCCAGCTGAGCCTCTGAAATAATTAGGGATTCAAAGGCCTGCTCTCTAGAAACTTCTCTAGCTGAAGAAATAACCATAGCACTAAAGGAGCTGACATGCCATTTATTAAAACAATAGCCAACTAAATGCATCTCCTTATTTCAAGGTTACCTTATAAATCAACTTGGAGGGGCAAAAACCTTGTACATATGTAGGAGGATGAACAGACAATTTATATTTAAAAAAAATCCTAAAGTGCATATTTTACTTACAGAAAGAATGAGATTTAAAAGGGTGATAATTAACAGAAATTAACACAGCTGGCATCCAGCAAATTCCAATTGCAAAGATCATATAAATTGATTTATAGTGTTCCCGTGTGACTAATGAAAGTAGATTGGTGGCCATATTGTTCCAAATGATTGCATTAGAGAACATTATCACTTCCAAGAAGAGCAAATTAATAATAAAATCCTTATCACTGAAGAATAAACAAGATAATACTGGATCAACATTTGAGATTTTGGCACTCGTATCTTCTTATTAAGTATCTTTCACAAATTAAATATGTGCCTCAAAAGAAAACGCTAAAAAGCACCGGTTCTACTTTTTCTTTTATCAGTCCCTTGGAAGAAGGAGAGGGTTCGGGAGCTTCCTGATGTCAGCACTTAGAAAGGTTAATTATTCATCCAGAACAATGAAGAAGCAGCCCTAGGTTTAATTGGACACATGCTTCTCACTTTTAAAGATAGGGGAGTGGATAATGATGTCCCTTTTGTGTCCTTCCGAAAGAAATATGGGGAGCCGGTAATGTCCCGAGTAAGTCTTAAAGGAAAATGCAGAGCTGGGCACTTTCGAGAATCACTTATTAGCATGAGCTCAGAGGAGGTGCAGTCTCAACCTGCATGGTCTGCTCTACTCCGCAGTTACAGATGATCAAATTTAAATAGATCAAAAAGTGGTCAACTTGACACCCTAACCTCCAAAGATAAAGGGCAAAGTTATACATGTAAAGTTCTAACTGGATACAGGAAACCCTAGATCAGGAAAAGAAATCAAAGAGTTTTTTAAAGAGGAAAGGGATGCCTAGATAGTGAGATCAACAACTAACTTATCCATGGAGCCCTCAACTAATACCTGTTGGAAACAGAAACAAACACCCATACATAAACACTGAGTTCAACTCGAACCCAGATGCAGATGGAGAGGACAAGACCAGGCTGCAGAAACACATAGAGACAGCTGACCTGAACAAGGAGGAGCTAACAGGCCACCCAGACTGATAGCTGGGAAGCCAGCATGGGACTGACTCAGGCCCCCCTGATTATGGGTCTCAGCCAGAGGGACTGGGCAGTCTAAGAGACCTCAGACAGTGGAGCCAGGATGTATCCCTGGTGCACAAAAGAACTTTGCGAACATATCCCCCATGGAGGGATAACTGCCTTAATCTAGAGACAGGAGAGAAGCCCTAGTCCCTACTTCACATGACCTGTCAGATCTACATGACCCCAACTGGATGGCATTCCCCTACATATAGAATTGGGGTGGAGTGATGGGAGGGAAGGGTGGTTAGGGTGCATGTGAGAGGGCAGAGAGGGTAAAAAGGAGGGAGGAAGAGAGGGAGGGAAGGGGGACTGGGATCGACATGTAAAATAATAAAATTTAAAAAAAAAGAGGAAGGGGATGGGTAAATGAGCATTCTTTCAATGAACTATAACCCAGGTTTGTACAGAAATAGAGTTAATTTTTCCCCAAAGCAAAGAGACTACATCATTTCTCCTTGAAGTAGAGTGTAGGATATGACTTTCCCTGTAAAGTGTGTGGCATACAATGTAAGCACTGAAGTTCAGATGGGTATGGTGGTCGACCTATAATTCTAGCATTCTGAAGGCAGAGACTGGCACTCTCTGGAGTAAACTGGCTCACCAGAGCACTCAATTCAGCAAGCCCTGGGTTCAATACAGAGTTCCTGTCTCAGTGAAGAAGGTGTAGAGAAAGCCCGGGACACTCCACATGTGAGCATGGGGTCACATGGATTCATATGCACTCACATACATGCTCATGCACAAGAGGTACACAGATGCTTTCAAAAGAAAATAACTACGAGAAGGACAGCAACAAAATCTTTTGCTTACCAGTATATTTTCAAGGCTTCTTGTAGTGTCTAGCATATAGAAGATAGAGCTGGCCAACAACGTATTAGAAAATTCAGTTCTAAGAGAGAAATAAACAAGAATATATTCTGGAAATAAAATATTTTCCCTCAATATTTCATGTTTTTTTTTTTAAATTAAAGTGTCAGACACAGAAAAAGGCACAAACTATAAATACACTAACACCTCCTTTCCCTCCACCATACCTCTCCTTCCCTCCCTCAAAGGTAGCCATGTTTCTGACCCAGCATACCATCGTTGGCATATGAGAAACATATCAGTTTTTGCTATTGTGAGTTCAACTGTAGTGAATATCCTTGTTATGTCTGCTAACAAGCAAATGTACATGGTTTTTCACCTCTAACTACAAGTACAACTGCTCAATGTCTAGATATAAAATATATTTGGTTTTTCGAAACAGGGTTTCTCTGAGTATAGCCCTGGTTGTCCTGGAACTCGTTCTGTGAACCAGGCTGGCCTCAAACTCAGAGATCCGACTGCCTCTTTTTGCCTGTGATTAAAGGCCTATGCCACCACCACCCAGTTTGACCAATGCTTTTCAAAGCGAGAGATTTTTATAAAGAATTGCCTCTTTCTCTTTTCTGTTTTTGGATTGTTGAGAGTCTCATAAAAGCCCAGGATAGTCTTGAAGTCCCTATGTGTCTGAGGATGGCCCTGAACTTCTGAGCTTCCTGTCTTTACCTCCAAAACTCTGGGATTATAGGCTTGTATCACAGGCCTTGACAAACAGAAGTTCTAAAAAAACAGAAGTTGTACTGATTATCAATCGAAATTTGCTCCATGTTTAATAGGCACTGGGATTGTATTGGATACCGAAACTAGTAAGGAAAATGTTTTCCCCACCAGTATGTAGTTTTAAGAGAATAATGTTGATGAGTATGAATGTACAATCTGTAATCCCAGCATATGGGAGATGAAGGGAAGAGGATCAGGGGCTCGGGGCATCCTTGGTTACATAGCAAGTCTGAGGCCAGTCCAGACTGCAAGCACACCTGCCTCAAAAGCATCAATAACAACAAAAGGTAACCTAAGCACAGTTGGCTAATATAAAAATGTGCGGAACAGAATGGGACATAGGACACAGCCCACCAATGCACTGATAACTTCTAAAAATTATATCATACAAAGATTCTCTGGGAAAAGAAAGTTGTAGAAATGGAA